TGAAGGCGACTCTCCGAGAGATCTCGCTGTATCGAGGCTTTGATGGTCGCTCCAGGAGTGGTCGCTCCAGGAGTGGTCGCTTCAGGAGTGGTCGCTCCAGGAGTGGTCGCTCCAGGAGTGGTCGCTCCAGGAGTGGTCGCTCCAGGAGTGGTCGCTCCAGGAGTGGTCGCTCCAGGAGTGGTCGCTCCAGGAGTGGTCGCTCCAGGAGTGGTCGTTCCAGGAGTGGTCGCTCCAGGAGTGGTCGCTCCAGGAGTGGTCGCTCCAGGGGTGGTCGCTCCAGGGGTGGTCGCTCCAGGAGTGGTCGCTCCAGGAGTGGTCGCTCCAGGACATCCTAGTGAATGGTTGAGTGCAACCATTGCCAGAGTGCAGACGCCCCGTGGTGATTGATGGTGAGGAGCAGTTTATCTTAGTGATATCTGATATCTTAAGAGCAATTCTGTGTCTCTTGGTCTCTCTCTCTCTCTCTCTCTCCCCGAAATTTTACCTTCCTACTCCCTTTAATCAGGCAAGCTAATAAGCAAAGCATTGTCATTGAAAAAGCATTGAAAAATATAAATTTTTCTCCCCAATCGGTAAAGTTATTGAGATCATTCGCTAAGACATAATAATACTGCTAATCTCATTGAACTCATTTTGAAGCATCTTAAATTTATCTCCAGCATCCAAGAGCCAGCTTCCCACTCTTACCTGTACCACACACGATGGGCAGAGATGTAGTGATGATTGGAGGATTCGTCAAGGAGTTCTACACGCTTTTTTTTTCTCTCTCTCTCACTTCTCTTCTCTCACTTCTCTACTAACGAAACCTCTAGGTCGTTCATCATACGTAGAGGTTACGAAGTTATCTTAAACAACAGGAATCTTGGATCAAGAATAACTCGTGGCGTTTTGAGAGCTCGTAGTGTTTAATATATATATATATATATATATATATATATATATATATATATATATATATATATATATATATATATATATATATATATATATATATATATATATATATATACACACACAGGTTTAAGCGACAAAATCGAGGAAAGATGCACTGCTTTCGTCCGTTGCTGCTGCAAGAGTTGTCAATTGCAGAGTTACACTTTCGCCTAATTGTGACTGACAACCTTGTAATTGGTTGCAAAGTTCCTGAGAATCACTCTGGAGATCCATATTCCTTCTTAGTGAGTGCAACTTAGACCCCCAGTGAGTGAAACTTAGACCCCAGTGAGTGCCACTCTGACCCCTGTGAGTGCCACTCATACCCCAGTGAGTGCCACTCAGACCCCAGTGAGTGCCACTCATACCCCAGCGAGTGCAGACAAGACTGCTTACAGAAAACAAGGGAAAAATGGAAAAAAATAACACAAAAAAACGAAGATTGTGGAAAGCAGTAGAGCGAGATTACCAAAGAACCGGTCAATTATTTTGTGAACAAGCTTTGAACACGGCGCTACTGCCCTCGGCAGCTTGGCGAGGAGACTCCGTCACCAGAACCAGCTTCTTGGTCTGGGGACCAGATTCACGAAAGCACTTACGCAAGCACTTACGAACCTGTACATCTTTCCTCAATCTTTAACGGCTTCGGTTACATTTATTAAACAGTTTACAAGCATGAAAACTTGCCAATCAACTGTTGATATTGTTATAAACGGCCTCCTGGTGCTTCGGAGCTCATTAACTGTTTAATAATTGTAAACAAAGTCTCAAAAGATGTACAGGTTCGTAAGTGCTTTCGTGAATCTGGCCCCTGGTCTCGTGGGTGTGTCCTGTCCTCCTGCTGTATCTACTTCTCGGTCTGTGGTGTTCGGGAGATCATGACTGTAGCGTCGACCAACCTTGCTCTCCACGTCTGACTCCTCCCGTAGGTCTCCTGTAGGGGAAACCACATTGAACCCATCACCTCCTGGCCTGTCTTGGGATCTAACTCCCTGCTGTGGAGCAGCCCCAACACATGGGTCACAAAAGTGATGTAATTTCTTACCATCGAGGTCTCGTTTCATGCGTTTTGGGCTAAGAGGTCTTCTATGACGAGTCAATAAAGACTATCACTTCATATTTTCGCGCTATTTCACGGTGGACCAATTTCATGTAACTTGCTCAGGCGTCTCTCTCAACGCCGTTCCAACAGACTGTTGTATGTGTCCATTTAGGAGACGCTCTCAAACGCCTATAGCGCGGCGAGCCATCACCCTGTGTGTTCCGGCGTCCAGCACAGCTTAGGTCGATGATGTCTCTTGATTGGCAGCCTAAGAACTGATGTTATCGTTGATGGAGTAAGTGGAGAACTGCCTATGGCCCAATTTATCGGTGGACTTGTTATCTCTGTCGGTAACTCTGATTGGCTGCCACCAGTCGCGTACTGGTCCAAAACAGCCCCCCCTCTTCTGCAACAGTTTAACATATTATACTTTTAAATCACAATTCTAATCTTGGTGTGACGAATTAACACGTTCTTATACCTTTCAGTAGCACTAGCCTCCCTCCACCGGCCCCCTGGTATCAC